CCGAGCGAGTCCCGCGGCTGCTCCGCGCGCCCGGCCGAGGCTCGCGCCGGGGGCTTCGCAGGCTCCCGAGCTGCGGGCGCAGTTTCCTGCACCGAGAAAAAAGGAGTCGCTTTGAGGGTGGCTTAGGCTCTGGAAAAAGTTCTCGATGCCATGAAGTATGCCATTCTGTGCACCTGTGCCTTTCATTCCTCGTTTTATATTCTCATCAGGATCAACGGGGACGTGTTCTCGATTTTGGGACTGATTTTGCACATCTGTTTGCCTTTTGCGAGGCTCTGTCACCCTGCTATCAGTTCGAACTGCAGAGGTTTCTCGTCCGTTTACGTAACTGTCTTCCCCGCCCCCCAAATACCGTGCAAACTGAGCAACTATAAATCTAGACAAGTGGCGGAGAATGCCAACGCAGTGACTAGTTTCAACTGATCTTTCTGTTTCTGCATTTAAGAGGAAGACATAGTTATAACTTGTATCTATTATTCTTTCATGCATTTAGCTATTTATTGAGCACCTACTATATATATAATATCAGGTACCATACTAGGAAAACATCAAGTTAACAAAAGATACACACATTTGTATCCCCATGGGGCACACATTTTTATGGCTCCTAAACAAATGTGCAAGGAAATTATTTCACAGGGAGGTCAGCAGTGGGGAGAAAATGAGAGCAGGTAGCGGGGGTGGAGGGGGTGGGATGACTGTTGCAATTTAGAATGGGGTAATGGGGGGATGGTCAGGGAAAGTCAGGAAAGGTGGCCTTTGAGAAAGACGAGCAGATACGGTAGCAAGTGATGAGGATTTCTGTAGAAAGAGTTGGTCAGACGGAGAATGGCAAGTGTGACGGTCCCTGGGTGGGGTTGTGGCTGCGGGAAGGACTGGTTCCCGGCAGGAGCGAGGGAAATCATGAGTTTAGTTTTCAGATATGTTAGGATTGAGATGTAATTTGACAGTCAGGCCGAGCCATTATGTAGGTAGTTGAATCTGCAGGTCAGAGAAGACATGCATCTGGGATTTGTCAGCATATCGATGATATTTAAATCATGGTACCAGATGGACTAGCTAAGGGAGTACGTTTAGACGGAGAAGAGGCAAGTCCAAGGACTGAACCTGGGATGCTTGAATGTTGACGATGGGAGGTGGGGGTGGGGGTGTAAAAAAAAAACCAAAAAACTGGCAGAGATTTAAAAGAGCAGCCAATGAGATAGGAGGAAATCACTGAGCGTGGGGCGTACTGGAAGCCAGGTAGAGAAAGTGTTTCAAGGAGGAAGGAATGATTGAGTAACTGTGGCAAATCCTGATGATGGGCGGAGTAAGATGAGAACCGAGAATTGACCAAGGAGAGCACATTGCATATCTAAGCGATATATGTTTGTATTTAACATATTTCCTCGTTTGTGCCTTAGCTAGAACTTTATCTTCCCGTCTCCACTGCCAACATTCCAGTTCAAGACACCACCATCTCAGATTTTCCCGGTAGCTACTTGATGCTCAGATGTATCCTTCACATAGCAGTCAGGGTGACCTTCATAAATCAATCACCCACTGCCCTCTCTAAAGATTTTTTATTGCTCTCCATTGCTTTTTAGAATAAAATTAAGACTTCGTCTGAGGATCTGGCCTTGTCTGCCTGTCTCATCTCAGCTCATCCTTCACTGTTCTCTCAGGGCTTTCCAGGGAAACAGATTCTACTGTTTCTCACCCCAGGGAGTTAATATTTGCTGCCTCCTGTGTCTGAAATATTCTTTCTTTAGCTTTTCAGATATTTGGTTGCTTCTCTTCTTTCAAGTCTTAGCTCAGTTGTTACCTCCTTAGAGTGACCTTTCATACCTGATGCAGGTTTGCCTATCCGTTTATATTTTTTGTTTATTTGTAGTGATGTTTGCTGTCTGTCTTCACCATTAGAATGTAAGCTCCTTGTGAGCTTTTGGATGAGGCCTCTCTTTTCCATTGCTCTATCTCCAGCACGTAGCCTGATGGTTGGGACATAGTAAACATTCAGTGAATATTTGGTATTGAAAGAGTTTAAGGTTTATTGTCCTTGCATCTCAATAATTGTTAATATTATATATGGGAAAGTAGACCTGGATCAGTCAGTAAGTACAGTATCTGTTCCATCTTTCTTTGAAAAGACTGTTAGACAATCACAAATGTTAAGGATTGACATGGACCTTAGCAATCTAACCTCTCGTACAATTTAGGTATTTAGTTTTTTGTGCAACAGTTTTTATTGAGTGCCTACTATGTGGCAGGTACTGCCCTAGTCATGAGTTACACGGTTGTGAACAAAATAGATATGGTAATCTGTGCTCTTGGAGTTTACCGTCTAGAGAGGGAGATAGGCTTTCAATGAGTCATTAAGTCAACACAGAAACAAGTGTGACATAGGAAGAAGTTACCAAGCACTTATATGTGCCAGGCATTATACTAGGTGCCGGGGATACAGCAGTGAACTGGACAAAAATCCCTGCCCTTTTGGTGCTTATATTCTAGAGGAGGAAATAGACAATAAACATATTAAATAAATACATTTTATGGTGACCTAGAGAGTGATAAATGCTAAGGAGAAAAATGAAGAGAGGAAGGGTTATAGAATGGGAGACAGGAGGTTGTCATTTTTCAATAAGGTGGTCAGAGTAGATGACCCTTGGGCAGAGGCTTAAAAAGAACACAGCAGGGATATTTCAAATGAGTAGTGAGGACTGTGACATTAAGCTGCGATTAGAGGGATGCCTGGCAGTTGACCAGGTAAGGAGAGACAATAAATAGAACAAGCACGTGGGAAGGTTTTGGCAGGAAAGAGTCAGGGACTTTGGAGGAATGGACAGAAGCCCATTTAGCATAGCTTACTGAGTGTGGGTGCAGTGGTGTGAGATGAGATTAGAGGAGTAGGTAGGGCTTTGGAAGGTTTTAGAGGCCATTGATAGAGCTTGGGTAGTTTTTGGCTATGTATTACCAGTATGTGATTTTGTTTTAAAATATTATTTTGGTGATCTTGTTCAAATGGAGCAAGCATGACAAGGTGGAGACCAGCTAGGAATACAGGAGGTAGGATTTGCTTTTATAACATTCGACAGATGGTTATTTTTTAAAATCAAAACTTGTTTCCTTTTACAACTGTAAGAACCTCCATAAGCATAAAAATTCATAGTACTTAAAATGTAGATTTTGATCATACCTGCAATGTCATTAAATTTAGAGTGTGGTTAATTTTTAAAAGGTATGCTTTTGTTCTAAACACATAAAATTTAGATACTCTGTTTATATAGTTATGATTTTCTATTTTGGAAAATTATAAATACCCAGTAGCAGCTATAATGAATCAGCAATCCAGACAATGTTAACGATCTTTTCTTAAATGATGTACATTATAGTTTCCTTGTTTAATCGTTATGTAAGCCATTCCCAGTGAGGCATCTTAACTTTATCTTAGGGTTCACTTTTCTTATTATGTAACCTTGATTGATTTAACAAGGCTGGTATTTTTCTTTTATGAGTAACAGACCTAGCCATCATTATGTCACTCTTAAAGTTTGGAAGAATTAGCTCTCTCATCTTCATAATTTAAGAATTTTAGCAAGACTGATTAATTTTTTTGGATTCATTATATTTATTCTAATACTGTAGTATTTCATGAAGCATCAAATGAAACTGAAAACGATAAAGCAAACACAAGCCCGAAAAACTTCCTCCTTTCTAAACATCTATGGTAGGTGTGGGGAACCTTTTTTCTGCCAAGGGCCATTTGGATATTTATAACATCAGTCAAGGGCCATACAAAACTATCAACTTAAAAATTGGCCTGCTATATTTGGTCAAACATTTAATTAACTCACCCCTAATGTGATGGCTAGAACTGCTTCTCTTTGGCAGGGCCAGTCCAAATGATTTCTTGGGCTGTATATGGCCTGTGGGCTCGATGTTCCCCTATTCATTCATTCATTCATTTATTCTTTCAACAAATATTTATTTTATTTTTTTATATGTTTTAACTGATTTTAGAGAGAGAGGAAGGGAGAGGGATAGAGAAATAGAAACATCGATCAGCTGCCTCCTGAACACCCCCTACTAGGGATCCAGTCTGCCACTTGGGCATGTGCCCTGACTAGGAATCGAACTAGTGACCTCTTGGTTCTTGGGTAAGTGCTCAACTACTGAGCCATGCTGGCCAGGCTCAACAAATATTTATCACATACCTACATATACTAGATATTCACTATTTTTGGAGCTTGACAATGAATGATAATATAGTTGAGGTTCTTGCTTTCAATAAACATAGTCAACTGATTTTTGAGAAAGGAGCAAAGGCAATACAATGGAGTAAAGATGCTGTAGTCACTTCAATAAATGGTACTGGATTAACTGGATATCCACGTGTAAAACAATGAATCTAGACATAGGCCTTATACTTTTCCCAGAAATTAACTTAAAATGTATCACAAACCTAAAGTAAAACACAATGCTGTAAAGCTCCTAGAAGATAACATAGGAGAAATCTAGATGATTGTGGGTCAGTGCTTTTTTTTTTTTTTTTTTAAATATATCTTTATTGATTTCAGAGAGAGGAAAGGAGAGGGGGAGAGAGAGAAACATCAATGATGAGAGAGTCATTGATCGGCTGCCTCCTGCACGCCCCCGACTGAGGATGGAGCCCTCAACCCGGGCATGTGCCCTGACTGGGAATCGAACCCGATCACCTGGATCCTAGGTCGATACTTAACCACTGAGCCATGCTCGGCTGGGCTCAGTGCTTTGCTATATAACATCAAAGGCACAATCCGTGAAAGAAAGAACTGATAAGCCGGACTTCATTAAAATTCACAATTTCTGCTCTTTGAAAGTCATTGTCAAAAGAATGAAAACCAAGCCCCAGATTGGGAGAAAATAGTTTCAAAAGACATACCTTATAAAAGCACTGTTATCCAAACTATACAAAGAACTCATAATACTCAACAGTAAGAAAACAACCTGATTAAAACAGTGGGCCAAAGATATTAACAGATACCTCACCGAAGAAGATATACAAGTGGCAAGTAAACATATAAAAAGATGCTCCACACCCTGTATCATCAGGAAGATGCAAATTAAAACAGCAATGATGTTCTACTACAGAATTATTAAAATGGCCAAAATCCAGAACACTGAAAACACCAAATGCTGGCAAGGATATGGAGCAACAGGAACTCTAATTCACTGCCAGTAAGTATAGCCACTTTGGAAGACACTGGTGGTTTTTCTTTTTTACGAAACTAAACATAGTCTGGTAAATTGTTCTTCTTGGTATTTGCCCAAAGGAGTTGAAAACTTACATTTGTACACAAGTCTGTACATGGATGTTTATAGCAGCTTTACTCAAATGGACAAAACTTGGAAGCAAATAAGATGTCTGTCAGTAAGTGAAAGGATAAATAAACTGTGAGATATCCAGACAATGAAATCTTATTCAGTGCTAAAAGGAAATGCACTATCAAGCCATGAAAAAAACCTGGAGGAATCTTAAATGCACCCTACTTAGTGGAAGAAGCCAGTCTGAAAAGGCTACATACTGCATGATTTCAACTATATGACATTTTGAAAAAAACAAAACTATGGAGACAATGGAAAGATCAGTGGTTGCCTGGGGTTGGAGGTCGGGAGGGATGAGTGTCCAGAGCGCTGAGGATTCTTAAGGCAGTGAATGGCAGTGTCATTATACATTGTCAAAACACATAGAATGTATAACACCAAGAGTGAACTCTAATGTAAGTTACGGACACTGGGTGATATTGACGTGTTAATGTGGGTTCATCAGTTGTAACTAATGTACTACTGTGGTGGGGGATGTGCATAATGGGGGAGGCCGTGCACATGTGGGGGTACGGGGTATATGGGGAATCTATACCCTCTCAATTTTTCCGTGAACCTAAAACTGCTCTAAAAAAAGGCTATTTTTAAAAAGGCTATTTATAAAAAGCTTCGATCAGTGCTTGACACAAAAAAGCAATGATTTTAACTGTAGTTATAATTTACTAATTATTAGACATTAACAATAAAGCACATTGGAAAGACTTAGCACAAGATAACTTTTTAAGGATTGCTTGCTAATTAATTGAGCTTTCCTACTGACTTTGAGGATATCATTTTATTTTATGATTTTTACAGTGCCGTGGCTTTGTTTAATATCTGGACCAAATACGCACACCGACTGCCAGCTGACTATTACGATGAAAAGCTTCTGAAGGTTGGAGACAGCCTTTGTGAAATGAAAGTAAGTGCCTACGGAGTAAAAAGAACCTAAATGAAACTCATTTGGCTAATTATATTATTATTGGGCTTGGTACCATTCATGTTTTGTGTTTTAATTTTGTAGTTGAGATTTTCTAGAGGTGAGAGATTCCTGAATAAAAAGACAGCTGGCTGGGGATGGCTAGGTGCGCAGCCCCTAGTTAACGGAGGGTGTGGTCGCCCCCAACAGGAAATGCTGAGTCATCATGTTCCTACCTTACACAAAGGAGCCCGGCCGCTTCCTGTTGTTTTTCACATGGTTGGCCAACCCAGCAGACAGCTCTCATGGCTTCTGGCCTTGCTGCTGCGTTGCCTGCTTCCCAGTGCCCTGTTTTAATGACTTTCAACAACTCGTTAATATTTTGCCGAATATAAATATAGCAGTCATTCCACACATGCCCTGTTTCTTGCTCAGCATTGTATTCCAAACTGAGTTTGCCCCTGTTTTTAGTTCCATATCAATGCCCAGGTCTTAGATAGCTGTGGGCTCATGGACTTGCCAAGACCCCCCCCCCCCACAGGCTGAGTTTTCTGTTAATGATAATGTAAGTTTTCCCCTTAAGTTCTGGCATAGGGCCAAATTATTCCAAGTTAAATACAAGTGTTTGGCATCTAGGATCCTTGGACCAAGATTTATTTTATCCAGAGTGATTTTAGGCCAGACATGGGCCATGTACAGTGCCTCCTAAGTCTTCAGTTTCTCAGTGTCTCTTTCCCCCTATATTTCTATTTTCCGGACTTGAACCCTTCTGGTTTGGGAGAAAAGTTTACGAAATAGAGGATAAGATTAGAAGGAAGTTTCATAAGGAAGAACTAAGATCTGTTTTCTGTTGTCAAAATTAGAGAATCACCATTGGACCAGGATTCTTAGAAACTTGAAAATACAGAGTTTGGAAAACTGGTGGGGTGGGGTGATGAGATCCAACTTGTAAGCTATATTTATGTGAAGTGGAATAATAGTTTTGACAAGAATTAGAAGCGTGCTCCCTCTCCATTTTTATGCTTCTCCTCAATGTAAGAAGCTGGTGATACTCAGCACAGTTGGAGGTTTGTTTGAGGAGTATCCAGTGGGTGGAGTGGATATTGGTGGAAGGAGGAGGAAGGAACACGTTAGAAGTTGATAAAGTAAGTGGATGATGGGTAGGGACTGAGGATTCAGAATATTTCAGATAGAGAGGCCCAGATAGGATATTTTAAAATGTGCTTAAAAGACCAAAGAAAATGTTTTAAGTACTTTTTACTGTTAGGAAAGTGGGCTGATAGAAGTATTTATAATTCTGAAAATGAACTTGACTTGTTACCTTGTTTCTAGAATCTCTTTATTTTTATTTTAGTTACAGTAAAGATCATTTTGTTAGAATACTCTTGTTTTGAACCTAGATTTGAATTCATTATATGAATCAAATTAGAACAGAAAAGAATCAGAAATAATTAGTGAACAGTAACAAACAAGTCAGTAGAAATAGAAACAAAACAGCACTGGACAGCGGATGCCTCCAAGGGGCTAGGTAACCTGAAAGGCAGGTCACACCCAGGGCAGCTGCCTTTCCCGGAGACAGCTCAGGGCAGGAGGCTGGGTAAGGGCTGCAGCGGACGCATTCCCGAGCCCTAGCATACCCATGGCCTGAGACTCTCCAGGTCCATGGCGCCTTGTGGGCTACAGAGATGAGGCATCTGATTTTGTCATGGGAACGTAAGCATGGATTGGAGCTAACAGAATCGTAACTAACAATAGCTCTGACTTTTTTGGCTTGTCCTGATGTGGCTTCAGAGACTGTTGAAGGATAAGAGACTGAGCCAGCTCATCTGGGTTTCTCTCTCCTTTCCTTCCCTTCCCTCCCATTCTCGAGTCTTCCTTTTTCCTTTCTTCTTTGTTTCTCCTTCTTTCTCTCTCCCTCCTTCCCTTCCTTTCTTCCTCCTCTCGGTTTCTCACCTCCTTCTCCCCCCTCCTCATCTCCTTATTTCCTTCTTTTATGGAGCTTAGGAGGTATCAGGGAAGCAAGGCTAGTTACACAGCTCATCTACCTCTCTGAGGGGATGGGTCACCATCACGGCGATACTGAATTTTTTGGATATTCTCATCTTTAAGATTGTGATGGTTTTATCTCACAATAGGCTTGTTGTGAGGAGTATTAAATGAAATAATGCGCATGAATCGCCTAGCACGGTGTCTGTCAAATAATATGTGTTTGGAAAAGATAGTGATAATGGTAGTAATAATGTACTGGTGGTAGTAATAGTAATAATCAAGATTGATACTATTAAGAATAATATAAATAGCTAATTTTAATAATGACAGTTTAATAATTCAGTATCAATACACTTTAATAATTTAATAGTTATTAAACATTTAATAAGCAAAATGATATTTTTAAATGTTCATCAAGTGCTCTTTTTATTTTAGGAATATAAATTGGCCCTTTTGCAGTGTTACGGAAGATATCTTCAGCAGTTCAATATCAACTTTGATGAGAATAAAGTAGATATACATCAATTCAAAACTGTCTTTTTTCCAAAAGGCATTGGAGACAAAACCGCTGCACACACAGTAAGATGAAAGCAGCTAAAATAGCTACAATTTATGATTAGCTGTGCAATATATCCTTTTGTGGACAGCTTCTAAATGTCCTTCCTGTGCTTAGCATAGCATTTACTTGCGTGCTACAAGTTGCTTAATAAATGTTTCCAGTAATGGATAAGAATGTGCACTTCTTAAACTTTGTAAAGATGCTTTGGAGATTGTATCACTATAATCACTCGTTCACCCAGAAGACGGTTATTATTATAATAACTAATATCTGTAGAGTGCTTTTAGTCTACAAACTAAAGACATTTGATCCTCACATTAACTTTGTGAGTTAGATATTATTATTATTATTTTACAAAAGAGAAAAAGGAAGCTAATCACACAGTGTAACTAGTGGCTCTGGAGCTTAAACACCGATCTTCTGATGTAAAATTTTATGCTTTATTTCTGGTCCATCAGCATCGTTATGTTAATTGCTACTATTGATTCACTTGTTGAACAGTCACCATGCGCTAGGCTCTTCCATGTGCACTATATGATAGTCATCTTGCAGCTTCATTAGAGTCTCAAAAGGTGGATACTATTATTCCTTTTTTACAGATGAGGAAACTGAGGCTATTAGAAACTAAGAAACCAGCCCACTTAGGGCAATGGGCAGAGTCGGTGTTTGAACCCTAATCAGTCTTACTCCAAAGCTATGTTATTCTAAACTCGATTATTCAAGGCCTTGGAAACATGTGGTTTAATAAGCAGAAAATCTCAAAGCATGTTTGGGGCCACGTTGAGCAGTTCGGTTTTGGCTATATCATAGGTGTATGAATGGGAATACTGGGCAATATAAGTTGGTACCCCATTGGGGAGAGTACTGAATGAAAAGCTTAGGAGTCTGGACTTTTAAGGCTCCTCCTATCCCATTCTGGTCCAGGCCCCCATCTCTCTCTCATACTATTGCATTATCCTGCTTTCACCCGGCCTCCCTGGCTTAGCACCAGTATGCTGGTGAGCTCCACTGTCTGCAAAGCTTAGATATCTGTGTGGCTCATCCCTTACATCAGATCTCCTGCACTCCCTACTTTATTTTTCTCTTTATCACTTATTGTCACCAGCTACATTTTGATTTCTTTATTTTTTTAAATTTACTGTCTCCCATTCTAGAATGTGAGCTTTACAAGAACAGGGACTGCTCTAACCTCTAATCTATAGTGGCTAGAACAGTGCCCGACATGTAATAGATCCTCAGTAAAGCTTTATTGAATGGCTGAATAGATGAAGTGATACAGTCAGAATTATTAATCTAGAAGTACTACACAGAATAGATTAGAAGGGAAAAGACTGGAGGCAGAAGGCAAAGCAATGAAGACAATAAGAGTATACCAGCAGGATTGCTGTGATGGGTGCAAATAGATGTGAAGAATTTGTTTTTTTAAGCTAAGTCTGAGGTTCTGACATGACACTGGCACCCCTCAGTTCTCAACAAATAGGTGTAAAATTAGTAAGATTGAAAACTTAGTCTAGTAGGAACTTGACAACACAGAACAACACAGAACTAGAGGTCTTGAGAAGTTTTGTTAGAGAAATAGATTTTGGATTTAAATGCATAAAGATCATAAATGAAGTAGTAATAATGAACAGCCTACTGTCAAAATATTAACAGTAAAGTTTTGTGTAAATGTACTTAATCATGTATGTAATATTTAATGGTCCCCTTTGTATGTACTATAGGGAGGCATTATGGCAGAGTTGGTATGAATTTGGTCTGCAGAGCCACCCTGCCTGGGTTCAAAGAGCTGCTGTGCCACTGCCCAACAGTGGGACCTTATAATTTCTTTGTGCCTCAGTTTCCTCATCTGTAAAACGGAAGTAATAATAAGACCTACCTCCTAGTGTTGTTTTGAGATTGCTGAGATAATAAAAGACTTAGAATAGGGCCTGATGCTCAAAAAAATGTTGGTATCCTTATCTGCTTCTAAAAGAGAGATCACTTAGAAGATAATGATTATTCTGACATATGGATACATTCAATAAATACATTCTATGATACCAACTGCCCGGTGGCTAGAAAGTATCCAGGCAGGAAATCTATGTGGTAGACAAGGCCCGTTTGTATTACTAAGGGTCTCCACCCCCATAGCTTTAACAATACTCATCAGTACTCTAGCCAGAATCTCCTTTCTGAACTCCACATCTCTCCAGGTATGTCTCAGACATCTCAGCTTGACCTACCCCAAGCAGAACTTGTCGTCTGTCCATAATTGCCTCCAGCCAGTCGCCCAAGCGGGAAATCATTGCAGACCGCCTCCTCTCCCTTATCTCCGGCATCTAATTGGCCACTAAATCCCATTGACTCACACAAGGCTTAAGTCTTTCCTTTCCCTTCATCCCCGATTCCAGGGCCCTGTTTCATCACCCTGGTATGTCTGGACTGCCTCGGAGGCCTCTGATCTCTCCCAGCCTCCCTGCATGTAGCTTTGTGCCCTTCCTTCTGCTTCTTATCTTTCACACTTTTGTCATAATTAATTTCTGATGTGTAAATCAAATTATTTTACTCCTCTGTCCTCTGACTTTGCTCTTTGGCTAACGTTCATGTTCCTTGGAATGACTTGGAACACTCTTCATGTTCTGACCATGAGCCACCTCTGTAACCTAACCTCTTTATCTTAAGCCTTCTTACCCAACCTTACAAAGGACTTTTTTCAATCCAGTGACCACAGAAACTGCCTTAAGCATTCCTAACATTGCTTGTGCCTGGAATTCTTTTCCTTCTGCCAAGAGCAGGGGCCGGGTCTTCCTCAAATATTGCTTAGCAGAGTGTGGCATGTTGAGGTGCTCAATAAACATTTGCCGAGAATCAGTTGTGTAAATGGTAATAATTATGTCTGAATTAATAAGTTAAAATGCTATTGGGTGAATTTCTAAAAATTGACTCAATTCCATATTCTTGGAAATAGGATTTTGTACTTTTTTTTTTGCTTTTGAAATTCTTTGATTAAGGAAAGGTAATCTTAATTAAGTGGATGCTTCGAAGAAACCTGTCTTTCTATGTCTTAATTTGTTGGGGATGCTACAACAAAATTCATAGACTTATGGCTTAAACAACAAACATTTATTTCTTACTTTCTGAAAGCAGGGATGTCTCAGATCAAGGTGCTGGAAAATTTGGTGTCTGGTGGGAGCTTGCTTTCTGGTTCATAGACGGCTGTGTTTTGTTGTGTCCTCAGATGGCAGAAGGCAGGAGGGAGCACTCTGGGATCTCCTTTATAAGGGACTAATCCCATTCATGAGGGCGCTACTCTCATGACCTAATTACGTCCCAAGAACCCCACCTTCTGATACCATCACATTGGGGCTAGGTTTCAACATAAGAATTTTGGAGGGACACTATACTAATCTATTAAATTAATTCAAGCACAGTTGTTTCCATTTTAGTTTTTTATGTTTTAAGAAAAGCTTTTCTAAGTTGCATAAGCTTTATTTATATTCATATTTATATTTTTCCATGTGTTTCAGTTTCATGCTTTAAATGGCAAAAATATTTGCAGCTACCAGCTGGTCTGTAACAGTGACATGAACCTGCAGAATAAAGAATCTGTGCTCCAGTGTCTGCAGATTTTGTCCTCCTTACGGCTCATCATGCAGGTGGCGTTGCCACAGGAGGACCTTTGCTGGATTATCTTCAATGGTATGTATTTTATTTCCCCCCCAGATCTCTCAGAAAGTTATTTGAAGTTTGGTGTTAGCTTGATTACCTTGTGATTTAAAACATGTTTATTTCATAGTAGGATGATTGTGGTTTTTTGCACTTTTTTTACATCTTACTTTGTCCTCATAAGCAGGAACTTACAAAGCATGCCTGTGAGTTTTCTGTTCAAGGAAGGGTTAGAGCCTGTGGGGCTAATCAGTATCAGGTATATGGAAAGCAGGGCCCACAGTTAATAAGTAAATATAAGTGGCGAAGAAGCAAAGAACCACTGCAGGTTAGATGGGTTCTAAGCATCATCTATTTATTGGTCCTCTCGTCAGACACTTTGGCCACTGGCTGGCTTTCTGCATATCAACCTTTTTCTCCGCCTTGGTTTTGAGTAAGGAGCTTTTGTGTGTGTATAGTATATTTATATTGTATAGATACACATACATATATATATACACACAGACATATATATATTGTATATATATCATGAAATACTATCTTTCAAAATGTAGCATTTATTTTTCACTTCAGAGAGTTGCAGCTTAAACTCAATTTCTTTTTAAAGTTACAATGAAAAGATGCAATGAGTCATTTGCTATTGTTCTCTGGATAATATATTCTCAAAAGGAAAATATTGACAGTGTGTTCTTTGTGTGTGAGAGCAAGACAAAATAACTCAAAAGAGAACAGATTGGATTTTCTGTGCAATTGGATCATCTATGGCAATTGAAATGCATTTCCTAGCCTTTTCCTTCCTCACCCTCCCCAAATAATTTTTTGATAATTTGATTGAAAATTACATTTTTTGCCAGAGATGAGGCTAACTTTGGAAGAAAATTTTTAAATCCAGTGATTATCAAGCTTTTGTGCGTGATCATCCTCAAGAGGATCTGTTTCCCAGAGTTTCCCAACTCTCCACCTGAGTTGGTCATGGGTCTTGGCAGGGACTGAGCAAGAAGCAGTGACAGGTCCTTGGGTTGAGTCTTGTAGCTGGGCCTTGCTTAAGTGGTGAAATGACACAGCCTGACCCCCCAGCTGCTGTCCTTTTAAGATTACACACAAAAATTTCAGTAATCTTGGAAAAAAAGAATAAACAATTTCTGTATCTTCTACAGCCTTTCCTTGGTGTGTGCTTTTTCTTTATACATGTAGTATCATGCTTGAGATTTTCCTCTTTTTCCTAAATATGTTTCTGCTCAATACTATGGTTTTAGAATCTACCATATTCCTGTGTGTAAATCTACTTTGTTAACTCTGACTACTGACTTGTATTCTGTAGGTAGGTGTATACTCCTAGGTGTAGAACCTGGTTTGCCTTACTTCTATAACTACACAAATAATCCTGCACAGAATATGCTTGCACAGGTCCTTTTATAGACCTGAGTGCGAGCTTTCTGGGATCTATGCCCAGGAGTGGGATGGCTGGGTTGTGGGAAATACACATAGTTTTACTAACCTGTGTCCCTGTTTTAATTAATTCATCCACAGCATATTGCCAGGCATTGTTCTAGGTGCTAGGGACACAGGAGTGGGCAACAGATGAAAACTCTCTTCTTACAGTTACGCTCTGCTCCAGGGAGATGATAAACAAAATGAAACTAAGTGGTCAGGCAGATGGTTCTATGGAGAAAAATAGAGCTGAGGAGGGGACAGCGAGAGCCAGACCTGGACCGGGGCAGGGCTGCGATTTTAAATAGAATGGTCAGGGAAGTCCTCAGTGAGATGATGTTTGAGCGAAGACCTGAATGAAGCGTCGGAATATTTGGGGAAAGGGCGTTCCACCTGGAGGATTAGCAAATGCAAAGGTTCTGTAGTTTTAAAACTTTGGGTTTTAAGTAATCAAAACTAATTGATACAATTTATCAAAATACATTTATCCTTTCCAGTTAGAGTGAACACTCATTTTCATTACTTTTAATTGATTATTATACACATAGACACCCTTCCTTTCTTAAGGTGTGTAACCAACCTTGGTTCTCTCATAAAACCTACCTGGGTGTATGAATATTCCATAGCACCTTGCTTCTCAATTAACCTGAACCCAACTAATTTAAACCCTCAAATAGATTATTTTGGTGATGACCGTCTTGGATGAAAAGGAGTCAAATGATAAGACAAAAAACTCACATTAGGGATTTGGTCAAAACTGAAACAAAACAAACTTCCAGAGATATCCTGAGGTTGTTAAGAGTCAGCCTATGCTCCATTCTATAGCAGCACTCTCTCCGTCACGCCCCGGCAGTGGGAATTTGTGAGTCACGCTAAGATCATGAGCCATCAAAGAAGGGTTCAGTTTTAGTCAGGATGCACGAGGGCTGGAAGGTTAGAGGCACATTTTGGAATACAGAGGGTCCTTGTCATTCTTTTCGTCAGTCTCCTGAGGCCTCCCGAAATCCCCAGTTCCTGTTACTGACATGTTTATACAGGCTCCTGGCTTACACCTGAATCACATGTTTTGTGGAGAGGCATGCGTTTCCTGTGGATATCCTTCCTTGGTGACTTTTTTTTTAAACAAAGAAACACAGTTTAATTTTAAGATTAAAAATAGAGATGGACAAAACCAAGTTGAAATAAGATTGCCCGGCTCGAGCCGTTACCAGCCAAATGGCTTCTTCCCCAGGGGTGTCGTACGTGACATAATTAACTCCGTGTCCTGGGAGCAGTCACAGTAAGAATGCCGAGCCCTTGAGTGTTAAGGACCGAAGTTCACGGTGCTGTATGTGTTTAAGACTTTATTCAATATTTTTGTCACTGATTATGCAATTAATATTTGTTATGCTTACAGCTATATTTTAATCAAGTGATGTGTGTCTTGGAGCAGATGCTGTCTTCTCAGAAGCTTCACGTTTAAATGTGAACACGGGATTCATAATTGTTGAATTTTGATGGTTATGAATTTTAGAACAGTTATTTTATAGGAAATATTTAGAGTACTTGCATTAAAATCAAATGCCTTTTTAAGGCATGTTACCATCTTTTGGTTATGTTTATAGCATGATAATGTCCTTTGTATATCTAGAGAGACATGCTGACATGCTTCCCCCTCCCCTCAGTCCTGCCACCAGCCTTCTATCCTCATTTAATCTATGGCCTGACCAAAAAATCCTACTTGAATGATGTTAAATAGGAGTTGAAAATGCTCTTCTTTATTAGAGTGCTCAGAGGACATACCTTAATAATAGTATAAATATTATATGAGACTGCAAATGAATATAATGCAACCTATTATGTGTTATGATTTTAAAATTATTATGAGTTTCCATGTTGAGTACTGTGCCATGCTGATTAAATATGTATTTTAATCTTATTTCGAAATAAATCTTTAATTTTTCAACCATAAGGAAATCATGGGAACCAATAACATTTTATGTAAATTACTAAAACCACAGGATACATAAATTATGCTATAAAATATTCTTTTGTTCAATATATTTCAAAACTTAAACTGCTTTTATAATGAGGCTAAAAGACTCCTGTGTCAACCTATTTAAAATATGGTCATATTAGTTCTTTTAATGATTTGGTTACAAAACAAATTATAATGGTTATAATTCTCGAACCATTATCAGACTTTCTCATGAGATTGCTTATTTTGAGAACTACAGACTTAAACCACAGGAATTGGCATATAAAACTTTCCTCATTTGACTGTAAAACATGTTAATGATCCTTTTTTCTATCTAGGTACCGTTTACATTTACACCATTTGCAGAAAACTGATGATTATAGGCCAGTCTTCCAAGGTATGAAATTTACCAACAAAATATCTTCCCCTGTATTTCTTATTTTTCTGCAGACTTGTGTTGGCATTGAATGCTAAACAAAGAAAATTTAGTGAATTACATAACAAAATTTAGTGAATATATATTATAGGTTTACTATTTTTAGTTTTACTTTAATATGATCGTATGTAAAATTGCAGATAATAAAGTATTAATGAAAGAAAAGCATTCTTAAAATTGATATTCTCCACTGTCCCTTGGTCTCTCAGATTAGTCATAACTTGTCAACTTGATACTGAACATCCATCTGGTAACTATATCTCCAGGCAGGGTGACCATCCATCCTGGCTTGCTCAGGACAGCCCTGGTTTATATCTGTTGTCCTGGAGTAATTATTAATAGTGCTTGCTTTCACTCTCAAAAGTGTCCTGATTTGAAGGATAAACTATGGTTATCCTATTTATGTCATATTATGGAGCTTGGACTTCATTTTGCTTGAAGAGATTGGACTTTACTTATGGCCCACATGCTAGGGAATGAGTGAGTGAATGAATGAATGTTAGTGTTCCTTAGGGTGAAAGAACATCTAAACTCCATTCCAGTCATGACCTTATTTTATAATAAGATTCCCACTCACCAGTATTCACAGCTCGAGTTTAGCTTCAGGCTTCTATTGAATTCCCTACAACGTTGGTGGCGCCTTTGTCTCTATGAGACATATTTATTCCCTGTATTCATTATTTTCTCATTGGCATGTTGGCCAAGAAGGGAGAATACACTCTCGTTGAGACCATACTCAAATTATTACCAGCATCTGCAACATAACTACTTTATTCTTTATCACACTCAAAACCTTACCCTTAACGTTCTAACACTCAAGACAGAGACTTTTTTTCTTACTTTTCTCAAAACATAGCCAAGTGTCTTAAAAGTTGGCAACACTTAAGAATCAAAATGGAAGCAGAGCTGTTTGCATGCTGAGTGGGTAACAATGATGTGTGTGTTTTCTCTCTCTCTTGTTCCTCGGATCTAAAAGCTCCATCACTGACAGCAACTGGAACAGGACTGTGCCGGCTCTCTGAGTGTGAATTAAAATGAGGGGAGACTGGCCCGTGTAGAATGGAAGTTTGGCCTGCAGCCTATTCCAGTGACTCTACATTCAATTCCAGACGATTTCCTAAAAAGCGTCTGCACACTGCTGTTGCCCTTCTGCAGCACACACCGCTGCACACACCGTCCTGGTTTGGTGTAAGCAGCGTCTGTCTGCCGGAGCTGCGGCGGGCAGAGATGTCTGTGCCAGAATTGAGCTGCTCAAGTTTATGCTTGTTAATGCCGAGAGAATTTCAATATGGTAGTCATTTTAAGATAATTTCTTATTTATACCCTACATAAGACATCTCCTCTCCCCCTTGTAGAAACTGAATTTCTCTCTGACAAAATAAGGGCTGAAGGGGTAATAGCCCTGTGGTCCCAGTCTCGTGGGATGGGAGTGAGGGGAGTGTGGGGTACAAGAATTTTGGAGTAATGGGTGGTTGTGTAGTTGGCATTTGAAGATTGAGAGGAAATTCTTTCAGTGTTTTCAATCTAATAAGTTCCAAGGAAATTAATAATTTTCACCTAGAAATTTCTAAACCTCCAGCTGGTGAGTTGATTTCCTGGGGCTGGGGGAACCAACCACGTCTGTGTCTTGGGTTTGAAGGACCCTGATTCTGTAACTGCTTTATAGTTCAACTCTCTTACAGCATGAGACAGGAGAAACAGATAGAAGATCCTCAGGGTTTTCTTGATATAACCCCAGATACTATTAACTCGTATTACTGCAAGATCCAGGCATTATTGCTACCATTTGTTATTATTATTGAATCCCTACTGTGTGTTAGTTATTGGGTGAAGCGCTTTGCATACATTATAATACTCATTATAGTCTTATGAGGTTGGCACTATCATCATCATCATTTGTTGAATGAATGCCTACCATTTATCAGGTAGGCTTCTAAGCACTTTCATATATTACCTCATTTAATCCTTATACCAACACTGAGAAAGGTGCTGTTACTTTCTTCTTACAGATGAAGAAGCGGAGGCTCAGAAAGGTTCATTTGCTCAACGTCAAACATCTAGTTAGAAGTGTAGCTGAGGCCAGAGTGGGTGCCACACTGTATTACCATTAGAGTAATCCATGTCTGTTGACTAAATTTAACCTTTCATGACCCATCCTATTTTGGCTCACCTACTCAAATTGAGGAGCTGTGTGAAAGGGGTTAATATTTTTTGACATCAATCTGTATTCCTGAAGACATCCTGAAGACCAAGACTGGCTGGGGGCCCTTCCCAAATGGGAAACACCTTTGTGTTGTGGGAGATCACCAGCATAAGCTTAGGGAATGGAGGGAGGGCAGATTTCTGGAATCTCTTTTCCTAAAGACGTATTACAACTTTGCTTTCATTTATGGAGTAATCTGTAGCTGCTTCTGAGGCATTTAAAACTGTAGTATCATACTCACCAAACATTAAAGAATACAGTAGAATCTATTTATTCTAAGAAAATATTGATTTGTTTCATTTATAAAGCTTGTGGCTTGGACAATGATTGTCAAATTATTCCACATTCCATTACATAAACTTCAAATCCAAGCTTTGAAATGCTTCTGTGTTGTTTTCCTCGAAGGCTGACATAAGTGATGCTGCAGTGCCTTCCTGTGGCGGAACCGATTAATTGTGTGTGCGCTACACCGGAACCATGCTCTTCCTGAGCTCCTATAATTTGGTTTTTCTTCTTTTTCTTTTTAAATGAAGAGTTAGTATAGCAAACGTTTTATTTTTTTATTTCTTGATATCTTAAATTTTTTAACAGAGGAACATTGACCAAAACACACTTTTCTGCCAACAGTGTTTTGGCCCATTAACACTCTCTCCAACCTTTGACAATCTGATGCATTAAAAACAAATGGGCTTTCATTGTTTCAATTTTCATTTTCCTGGTTGTGATGTAAGCACTTAAAATCGCTTTAAATTTCTTTTTTAATTTAATTTTTTAATTTTAATTTTTGGTAATTTATATTTTATTTTTTGATATTTTAATTTATTGTAATAAGAACACTTTATTTTTAAATTTAAATTTGGTTTTTCAAAGTTTGTTTTTTCTATGGAGAGAACAGTCCTGCTTAAATTCCATTAATATAAAAAAAAATTTATTAATAGAAATAGTTCTTTCAGGGGCCCAAAAAAAAAGCAGGCTACAAATTAAGAAGTAGTTTTTTGAAAATGGACTTTCATTTTAAAAATCTGAATGACAGTTTTTCAGAACCCTAAGTGAGATGACAGCTATATAGCNGGTGCCACACTGTATTACCATTAGAGTAATCCATGTCTGTTGACTAAATTTAACCTTTCATGACCCATCCTATTTTGGCTCACCTACTCAAATTGAGGAGCTGTGTGAAAGGGGTTAATATTTTTTGACATCAATCTGTATTCCTGAAGACATCCTGAAGACCAAGACTGGCTGGGGGCCCTTCCCAAATGGGAAACACCTTTGTGTTGTGGGAGATCACCAGCATAAGCTTAGGGAATGGAGGGAGGGCAGATTTCTGGAATCTCTTTTCCTAAAGACGTATTACAACTTTGCTTTCATTTATGGAGTAATCTGTAGCTGCTTCTGAGGCATTTAAAACTGTAGTATCATACTCACCAAACATTAAAGAATACAGTAGAATCTATTTATTCTAAGAAAATATTGATTTGTTTCATTTATAAAGCTTGTGGCTTGGACAATGATTGTCAAATTATTCCACATTCCATTACATAAACTTCAAATCCAAGCTTTGAAATGCTTCTGTGTTGTTTTCCTCGAAGGCTGACATAAGTGATGCTGCAGTGCCTTCCTGTGGCGGAACCGATTAATTGTGTGTGCGCTACACCGGAACCATGCTCTTCCTGAGCTCCTATAATTTGGTTTTTCTTCTTTTTCTTTTTAAATGAAGAGTTAGTATAGCAAACGTTTTATTTTTTTATTTCTTGATATCTTAAATTTTTTAACAGAGGAACATTGACCAAAACACACTTTTCTGCCAACAGTGTTTTGGCCCATTAACACTCTCTCCAACCTTTGACAATCTGATGCATTAAAAACAAATGGGCTTTCATTGTTTCAATTTTCATTTTCCTGGTTGTGATGTAAGCACTTAAAATCGCTTTAAATTTCTTTTTTAATTTAATTTTTTAATTTTAATTTTTGGTAATTTATATTTTATTTTTTGATATTTTAATTTATTGTAATAAGAACACTTTATTTTTAAATTTAAATTTGGTTTTTCAAAGTTTGTTTTTTCTATGGAGAGAACAGTCCTGCTTAAATTCCATTAATATAAAAAAAAATTTATTAATAGAAATAGTTCTTTCAGGGGCCCAAAAAAAAAGCAGGCTACAAATTAAGAAGTAGTTTTTTGAAAATGGACTTTCATTTTAAAAATCTGAATGACAGTTTTTCAGAACCCTAAGTGAGATGACAGCTATATAGCTATATATATATGTGTGTGTGTGTGCATATATATATATATATATATATATATGTATGTATATATGTGTGTGTGTGTATGTATGTATTAGAATTCCCCTTTGTCAGGGTTTTCCTGTGTAGTGGAAAGAATGCTGTTGCACTTGGGATTCTGAAGACCCGAATTCTAGCTCCAGCTTTGTCACAAGCAGCTTAGCCCCTTGGAGTCTAAAAGGTTACTTTTAAGGTCTCTCTTGGCACTAAAATCTGTAGGTGTGGAGAAAGGCAGCAGTTGCCTTTGCATGCCCTGTAAAAGGCTTGCACTTGGTCATATACGCAATGGGGAGCAACGAGCAACGGAAGTGTTTTGAGCACAAGAGCGACACAACCCCATCTGCATATTAAAAAGGTAACTGTAGTGGAGGTGAGGAGTATGTATAGGGCGGGCAGTTTATAAGAAGGGCAATGGCGAGACCAAAGGAGAGGAGGCAAGTGCAGAAGTGCCCAATAGACCGGGGAGACAGGTGAGGACCTGCTTGGTTAAGTCTAACATTTCTATGGATAAAGTTTAGAATTTGATATTCTGAGATATTTAGCTCACAGATTCTTATTTTCATCCCAGTAATATTTTTTATAACAATATGTGGAGCACATACCAAATTTCTTCTTATATTCAATCAAGTGAAAGGCAATACAATCTAATTACCCTTTGAGGTTTTGGAATGTTTTTGAAGAAAGGAAAAAGACTGAAAAAGTTAACTGCAGGATACATGTAGTCAAATAGTGTTTCCCGGTATAGGGTTTGTGGGAAAGACGTGTTCAAAAAGAATTATCAGTGGATCTGTGGGGAAAAGTCATTCAGCTAAAATAGTACAGGAGGCTCTTACATCTATTCCTACAGATAGACTGATAACAATGATGACCCTTTCGCCATAATTTTGTTTCACACTGTACCTTGGGAATGATTACACTGGAAATAGATATCATTTATGGAGTGTAACCAATACCATCCTAGCACACTGTGTACATTGTCTCCCTAATAGCACTGTGCCAAAGTGCCCATTTTAAAGATGAGAAAGTTGAGGTCTGGTGAGGTAAAATGACACAGCTACTAGGTGACAAATTTGGGACTGAAATGCAGGTCTATTTGATCCCAGTCTTCAACTGTTTCTACTAAGTATCATAGCTCCCGGACTGTAAGCCTTTTCCATTTTCCCTATTCTGCTATACCAGTTTATTTTCAAAATAACACATTGGTTCCAGGCCAGCTAGTAACAATTGTATTGTAATTAGTTCCTATGCTATTGTTGACACTTGATATATATTAATAAAAATGAGCCGAGTTCATAGGACTTTAGGAGCTAAGAAGGAAGACATTCTAAAATGGTTAACTTGAGATTTCGAGTTGTCTAAGTTACTATTTTACTTTTTAAATGCTCGTGTTTTCTTGACTCATTGTTTTTGGTTTAAGTAGCAATTTGTGCTCACAACTTATAATCTGAGTATATTGAGTAAAAAACCACGTAATTATTGGCTTAACATGAAAATATATTCAATTATGCCCTTTCTCAGGCCTTGGAATATCTCCTGTGGGCCAGTACGTGCATGGAATCCTCAGTCCCACTCCTGTCTGTCAGGTACCTGACGTGGAGAGCCACTCTTTACACTGCTGTCTGCCAGTGCTACTATGACTGCCAGGCTTGTATCCATGGGGAGGTATGCTACTTTTTAATTCTGAGGATTTTGATATTTTAAAATACAATGTATGCAGCATTTTCTTCTTTAGATGTCTGGCAAGAAAAACATAAACAAACATTTGAATTGCAAAGAATTGCAATGATGCAAAGACAGAAGTCCCAGGCTTAATTTGCAGAAATTTGCTTGACTTGCTCTACTTCCTTTCTCTCCCCTTTATGCTCTATTCACTTCCACCCTCTTTGTTGCTTTTCTGAGTAAAATTTCTGATGTCTTCCCTTCCTCATTATTTCCTTATATGCAATTCACTTTCCTTCCTAGTTTATTTTATTTTTTTGACATTCAATATTACGTTGCATTAGGTGGGTACTGGATATATCGGTACCAGAATTTGACTCTCCTTATTTTTAAAATTTCTTAATTCATCAAATCAGCCTATCTGACAGTTTATTAACTTTAGATCTGTAGAATTTAGTGGTACTTATAGGAAATGGTAGATTGAATAGCTACTGTGTTACAGAGAGTCAGTATCAGTTTAGAGCTTAACTCATCAGTTAAATCCAGTGTCTGGGGGAATAAAATATACTGCCTTGATACATTTTTAATCACTGTTCTCTTATGAATTCAACCTGTTTTCATTGCATATAGATATTCGCTCGGCGTGCTTTAGCTAAAATTGATGAATTAAGGCAACTGGAATTAATGGGTTCCTCACAATCGCCAGAAGCATCCAGAAGATACTACAGGGAGGCCACGATAAAGGTATAGGAATTTCACAGAGTAAAAGGAGTGTATTGCACTCTGCAGTTGATGAAATGCTTCATGTTAGAGGTTGCACCCCACTCTTACTTCATCCAGAATTCTTCCTTTTGCGGCAGATGGCAGTGATGATCTTCAGAAGAGGGGTGTTTGAATCCAGAAGAAAAACCAAGAGTTCCTTTAGACCAAAGATAAGAACTAACCTAAAGGAAGTACAAACTGTAAGTCTAAGACTGTTCTCCTTCCTTTTCAGACCCTTATGGTATATTTAGGTTCTGCCTCCGCATCCTTTAAGGTTGGTCGCTAAATGTCAAATCCTACAGATGATTCTTGGCACCCACGGCAGACAGAGGAATGCCTGCCCCGTTTGGACATGACCTCACTTCACCCCTCTCTCCGCTTTTGTACCTTTGCACAATCCCAGTTTTGGAACTTTAAAGGGCAAGAGGCTGGAGAAGATCCTGGGAGGGGTTCAAACGCACAAGCCTCTGAGCGGCTCCATGGAGGCCTGTGTCTGCCACTGCTTGGTGGTAGCATAGAGGCTTCAAGGCTGGAGAGGGCGGATGCACCTTTTCTCACCCGCCGCAGTTTCGCCGTTGGGAGTGCTTGGGAGCTCGGTCATAGTGTAGCAGCAAACAAACCCCATATCTTCGTGGCTTAAACAACCCTTTATTTCCCAGTGGAGTCAAGTTATTATAGTTACCAGCAGGCTCTGCTCATGATCCATGCTCAGGGCCAGATCGAGGAGCAGTTCTCATTTAGAAAATTGCTGGTTATCCTGTCAGAGGGGATGTGAGAGAGCTTTGGAGGACCTCACACAGGCAGTAATGCCCAGCGTGGAAGTGACAGCAGTCTCTGCTTTTCACGTGTCAAGCCTTATTACAGGGTCCCTTCCAGCCCCAGACGTATTTGGCAGACAGCGCTAAGGGCTCTCACAGGAGCTAAGGGCTCTCACGGTAGGGGGCTGTGATCTCATTAGGCCTTGTGGGGTCCTCTGCCTTTTGTCCCTCCTGCCTTTCCCTTCTCCCGCCGTCCTCCCCTTTGCCTTTCTGAGCCTCAGGATTCCTTAAGGCCAGTTCCATATTTCTTTGAAGTCGTCCCCTGTGTGTCCTCAAGGTCATAAACTCTTTCCTGTGACTCCTTTGTGGGGACTGAAAATGGAGGTGAGGGGGAAGAAGACGAGCACTTTCTGACAGGAGAGTAGTAGAATCTCAGGGTCCGGAAGGGATTTTAGAAATCACGTGGCTCAGTCCTTGTCTGTTGCAGATGGGGAAATAAATCACAGGGTGTTTACAATTCTAGCTCAAGGCAACAAAGGCAGCTGCTGGCCACCCTGGCACTAGAACCCAGGTCTCGGGTCCACTGCTTTCTCACTACTAACTTGCTGTTTCTCCTTCTAAGATTTAGGAGTAAATTCTCCCTTTTGTAAAATTTTAAATCAATATTTAAATCCAGATATTATTTGGACGTTGTAGCTGCCCATTGCTACTTCCTGTGACTATGACATATTGATGACTGACACCAGAAGTACATTTCATACTGCGTTTTAAAATCAGCCCTTACCAACCAATGGTGTAAACTTGGTGGGGGTTGTAACTTGCCAAGTTATAGATAATTTCATGGATGAGCTGTTGAACTGCCTGCATCTGATACTGGTAAGTAGTAATACTATCGTGTTTGTAAGAGAGCAGGGGACAGTTCTTTTTTTCTCATTAGCATTTTTTTTCCCCCTAGGCAAACCAAACTTATGTACTCAAAGCTGTAAGATTGTCACTAATTAGGATATTATCAGGACTTGATTTATAGTCATCCTGGTATAAAAATTAAGTATATTTTAAAAGAAAAATGTTTAAAATTTCAGATAATGTTATATTAAAAAATTTATTTCTGGCTTCCTTTAAGATAATTACTATATGGAAAGTATGGGAGTATATCTTTTTAGGAAAAAATCATAATTGTTTAGTGGGTAGTTTATACAGAGAACAGTTAACATAACCCTTTTTACAAAGTCATCATATGTCACCTTGATATAGTTTGCCTTATGTCCTGCTTTATGTGTATTAAACAATTTTATCATGTTTCCTGTAAAAGAAAGCAATTTCAATTTCAAAATTTATTTTATAAAACATTTTTGAGTTTGTAAAGCAGTAACTCATAGTAAATCATTTTGACTTTCAAAGGATAATTTTAAAGGACTACTAATTCAGACTTCTAATGATTGACTCTTTAGTGATTCATTCAATAAATATTTTTAATGTAGTTGCTATGTGAATAAGTAATTCTAGTGGAGAAATTACATAATAAATAAAATGTAGTTTGTCATAAGTATTATGGAGAAAATAATGGTAGTGATTAAATGAGTTACATGTTAGAATGTTCCTGGCACATAGTAGGTCCTCAGTAAATATTAGCTGTTGCTGTTATTTATTTTTCATTCATTAATTCTATAGCCATATATCGAACACTTACTGTTGTGTCAAGTGTGGTGGAATATAGAAAAGACTAAGTCGTAGTTCTGTTTTTTTGAATGGCTTTGGAATAATGAGCAGAATTTGACCAGACAGGAAAAGAGGGGAAATAGTTAAAGGATCAGAACATGATCATAACTTGGAAGCAGGAATAAGCAAAGTTCATAGGGGTACAGTGAGAAACTGAGCTTGACTGGGCTAGGTGTGCTGTGTGGGGGAGTTAACAATGCGTCCTATGGAGCAAATGTCGTGGAAATCATAGTATTTAGAAGTGGAACAGACTGTCTGGGTTGCGTCATTCAGCTCCTCCTCTGTCCTGACATTTTTAAAGATGATCTAATATACCCTATGCAGTATATGTGCCAGAATTTGTCTAATATTTGTATTTTATTATTTTAGTTGTTTCCACTACTTTGCTATTAAGAAATATTGATGTAATCAACATCTTCAACTATATATATATTTTTTGTTTTCTGTGGATAAAATTCAAGGTGTATGACTTGAATCAAAGGATGCACTTTTATTTCTCTTGATATATATTGCAAAATTAATTTCCAAAAAGGAGTTCTTTAGGGTGAAAACCTGCGTGTACTGATTTTGCCACAAGCTATTATCATTTTGATATTATCATTTTTTTTTTATAATTCAGTTTTAATAAAATGGCTTGTTTTAACTTTATTTTTCAGATTCAACTTACCCTTCTATTTGTGTTTACTCTTTGTTTTCTTTTTTTGGTGAATTATCTACTAGAGATTTTAATTTTTAAAATATATTTGAATAAGTTCATTGTTTTTATAGACATTAATACTTTTCTTGTCATGCTTGACAGTCCATTTCGTATTGCTTTGACTCGAAATCTTTTTTATAGATCTATGAAATACTTATATTTTAAAATCATTTACTTGGTATTCATCTATTGCTCTGATAAATAGTCTGTTCTTCTTTTTGCTCGTTTTCCTAAGATATTTAAAAAAATAAGTTCACTGTAACCTATTTGGGTTTTGTTCCTGCTTTTGTTTTTCTGTATTACTTTGCCCCAAGAAGAGGAAAGTAGCAGAGGAATAACGGGGAATATGACTGGTGTGTTCTAATAGGACATAGATTCTAGGAAAGCCAACTAGAGTTGCCTTTCTTATTTCCTGGTAATCTACATACAGAGCACAGGTAATTTGTCGGAGAGAATGGAGCATGGAGGCAAACCATCTGCAGGAGGTGGAATCATTCTGGCCTGATACAAAGTGGAGTGGCTGGGAATTCACACAGAGCTCTAACAGTCACTAACTTATTAGTATGCAGCTGGTCCACTCTTCTTTAGAGTTAACTCACATAAGACCAGTTATTTATGCTATGAAACATTGTTTCAAATTTGGTTTTGAGGACCCTGCATCAGAATTTCCTGCAGCGCTTATTAAGAATGTCCCATGCAGGCCCACTGATGCGGTGTGTGAATCTAAAAGCACTCCTGAGAGCCCTGGCTGGTGTGGTTCAGTTGGTTGGGCATTGTCCCTTGCACCAAAAGGTTGCTGATTCAGTTCCTGGTCAGGGCATGTGCCTGGGTTGTGAGCTTGATCCCTAGTAGGGGGCATGCAGGAGGCAGCTCTCACATCAATGTTTCTCTCTCCCTCTCCCTTCCTTTCTCTCTAAAAATCAACACAAATATTTTTATAAAAAGTTAAAGCACTCCTGAGAGATTCTTAGGCAACCAGAGTTTAAGGATCAGTTCCTAAGGGCTGAATTAAGGTATCACAAAGCATGTGGAGATTGATGCTGCCCTAATAAAAAGATAGTAATAAATAGCCTTTTTATGCTGCCTTGGAAACGCAAAAATATAAAGAAATAGCAGTCTTTGATGTAATGGCAACATGACATAAACCTTAATGGAGTCTGGAGTAACACCTCAAAAAATGAAAATCATAAAAGCAGCCATCTCATTGATAGGCCGACCACTCTCTCTTTTAGCATTAATTAAGCATGTCTTACTTTACTTTGCCTAATAATATCAGACATAGAACTTTTAAAAAATGGATTGTATATATATTTTTAAATTATAGTTGCCATGGCCACGTACCACCACAGAACGGCTATTGGATGAGATGTTTGATAGCACTGCATCCCGGTTTCTGGCTGTCTTGGAAGCTCTTTCTGATTCAAATAGGCGAACACTGCAAACTGGACCGATTGTTACAGAAGAACTAGAAATTCGTGATGTTGTCTCAGAACTGTTTATAGCGGGAAGAGAACTTTTAATAAGTAAGTTGTTAAGATAATATTTTGTTGTAGAACAAGAGTAAGAGAAGCTTTTAGTGTGTAGTACACACATAAGCTCATATCCAATTTTTACTGATCTTGAATTCAGCAAACTTGCTAAACTCAACTGGTAGTTTGAATAATTTATTAGTGGATTTTTCTTTTAGATTTTTTAATATATACAATCACTGTCAATAAAGACAGTTATATTTCCTTCTTTCTAATTCTTAAATTTTTATTTATTTTTTCTTATATTTCTTGACTTATTGCACTGGATAGGCTCTTCAATAAAACAGGGAATGAAAGTGGTAATAGCAGTTGCCCTGGCCCGTGTGACTTGGTTGGAGCATCGTCTCGTGCACCAAAAGGTTGCCAGTTCAATTCCCAGTCAGGGCACGTACCCAGGTTGCGGGTTCCATCCCCAGTGGAGGCACATACGGCAGGCAACTGATCGATGTTTCTCTCATACACTGATGTTTCTCTCTCTCTCTCTCCCCCTTCCTCTCTCTTTAAAATGAGTAAAACATATCCTTGGGTGAAGATTTAAAAAAAAAGTGGTAATAGCAGATATCCTGTCTCATTTATGATCTCTAAGGGAAAACTTTCAACATTTACCATTAATTTTGATATTTGCTAAAGGATTTTTTAAAGATACCCTTTTGCAGACTAAGGAGTTTGCTTTTATTTTTGGTTTGCTAAGAGTTTTGTTTGTTTTTAACCCTGAATAGTTGTTGACTTTTTATCAACAGCTTTTGTATAGACCTAATGAGATTTATTGAATTGATTAGATGGCTTTTCTCTTTTATATCTGTTAATGTGGTGAATTACATTGATTGCTTATCTAACTTTTAACCACCCTATATTTTTAGGATAAACGTAATGTTGAGGTGAGGATAATCCTTTTGATATATTGCTTGCTTTTTTTTTTTTTTTTTTTT